AAACGTGTTTGCATGAAGAAGATAACAGTTGAAATTTACTTAACTACTTCAGTGCTCAGGGAAAATGTCTTGAATTTAGAGCAGGAAAAGATGCTGCAAACCTGAAGCAAAAGGGTATGTAAAAAAAATGATAGTTATTCATGTGCTGATGTTTGATGCCCTCATCTGATGTGGGCAGATCTTTCTTATGTAACCAAGCTTAAACCCAGCACAGCCATGCAGCCTTCCATTACCTGGAGGGAGCTGACAGGAAAGATGGAGAGAGACTTTTTACAAGAGCATGTAGTGACAGGACAAGGGGGAATGGCTTCAAAACAAAAAAAAAGCATGCTTAGATTAGCTATTGGGAAGAAATTCTTCACTCTGAGGGCTGTGAGGCACTAGAACAGGTTTCCCAGAGGTGGATGCTCTGCTCCATTCCTGGAAGTGTTCAAGGCCAGGTTGGATGGAGCTCTGAGCAACCTTGTCTAGTGAAAAGTATCCCTGTCCATGGCTGGGGGTTTGTAACTAGATGATCTTTAAGGTCTCTTCCAACCCAAACCATTCTATGATTGATTCTTTTCCTTTGTTTCCCATTTGTAGAGTGAGAACAACTCACAACCCTTTACTGGGAGCAGGGGAAGCAAGGATAAATTCCACAAGGAATGCAAGAATACGTTAGGAGTCATACAAATAGTGTGGTAGGAGAAGTTCTGGCAAAGATACCACATTTGTGCATGCTGCCTTCTTACAAAACAAGTGAGTTCAAGAAAATTAGATACCTCCTGGTTCTTTTGAGGGCACAGTCAACAGAGAGTCACAGAATGTTCTGGGTTGGAAGGGACCTTAAAGACCATCTAGTTCCAACTCCCTCCCATGAATGGGCACACCAGGTTGCTCAAAGCCCCATCCAATATGATCTAGCTTGACCCTAGATTTCCCAGTGCCAAGAGCTGGAATGACATCTGTGTTCTCTTTCTCTCCTCACAGATTAACAAGACCTACTGAGACAGAACAGGAGACTGCAAGTGAGAGGAAGAATGACAAATCAGTAAGTATAATTATTCCTTTCCTTCTTGATGATGCTCAGAAGAAATCTTTATCTAATAGACCTAATTTAGTGATGTCTGGAGGACCCCCCTAACTTATGCTTAGTTTTTTTAGGACTGAAACTAATGCTGAATGCTTTAAAAAAAAACATCAGGGGGGACCCAAACAAAATGGAGTGTGTAATGTCACAGCAGCATCTCACCCAGGGCTGCAGTGCTGAATATGGCATCACACTGAAAACAGGTGTTTTTAAATGGATTCTGGTACAGCATGAGCTCATTCTCACTGAAAGTCTCTCCCATGCTGTGCCAAAACTGCAGCCGTGCTGGGGTGTGAGATGCCTGCTTTTGTCCTGCCACAAGGGAGACTTCAGCGCCTTCAGCATCAATGAAAAACAAGGGGCACACAGAAGAGTACTTTAAAATGGCTGGTATTTCTCCACATAGACCTACTGCCCTCCCGTGGCTGCCAAGGAGCATCCCCAATACAGAAACAGCATCCAGGGACTGACAGAAACAATAATGAAAAATAACTATATATTCAATTTAAACCAAACCCCAATTCGAGTTACAAGGAATCATAGAATCAACCAGGTTGGAAAAGACCTCAAAGATCATCAAGTCCAACCCTACCATCATTACTAGACCATGGCACTAAGTGCTACATTCAGTCTCATCTTGAAAACCTCCAGGGACAGTGAATCCACCACCTCCCTAGAGGTGTGATTATCTGGAAGTAACTATGAAGGCAAGAACAAAGCAGCAAAATTTACTGATCTGGGAGTAGCAGGGAGAACTCCAGCTACCTCATTTTGCAAGGACTGGTGGCCTTGAGCTCTTCTTCACCAGACTCTGCCAGCGAGTGCCATTTGCCCAACGAGAGATGGTCCATCTAACTTCATCAGATTGCCCCATGGAGGAGACTTCACTAGCAACAGGTCCAAAGAAGGTATGGGCGAACAGACCACTGCTCCTTTTCCTGAAGAGTATACAGGTGTTTCTGCAAGTAGTGTCCTGTTTCTTGTACTTACTTTCTGACAGTGCTGCTTCTTGTGCATCCTCTGTGAGCAGAGCACATCTCCAGTCTGACGCACAGCAGACACTTTAAACAAAACCACCACAGAACAATCAAAACCAAAAGCAACAAGGACATGGCAAGAGTGTTCATGGACTTGGCTTCAGTCTCATATCTTAAAGACTGGTGTATAGCCAAGCCACATCTGAGACTAGATGCAATGAAGCACTCACTTTAGGCTGGAGAAGCAGTGGGTATGACAGGGATCATGTAGGAAAACGCCAACATATGACACCTTCCATAGGACTTCAGGCTGTTAAGTGACACTGGCATCAAGAAGGGTGTCACCCAGCCTACCTGACAGCTGTGCTTCTTCAGAGATGCACATCGTTAGGACTATTAGGATTTCTTCAGGGTGAAAGAGACTGCAGTTCAGCAGAACATGCAGCAAGTTGAAATCAGTGAATGAACACAATGAAGAGTCAAATGCTTTGCTCACTCAAGTTGCCAGGTCACCCAGTCAGTATCTCATGCAGTAGTCAGCTATTGAATAGAGTAAATCCTGCCCTCTCTATTTTCACATCTTAGGCCATGCTGCACAACGTTAACATCATGAACAAAACTTCACTTTATGCACAGGTGAAAATGTCCAAAGAGATGAGAAACCACACAATGTTGCTCTAAAATATGTGCGTATGTGTGTCTATACACACACAAACACAGAGGTAATATATATATTTCTAGTAAATAGATATGTTTACACAGTTATAACCACTCCAGTATATACATTATATACTCCTATCACTCACTAGCACTATACATGTTGCACTGACAGAATCTGTTGCTCAGTTACCTTTTAAATTACAATTTTTCTAAGTTCTGCAGAATTGCTCAGTGGAAGGCCAATCTTTGGCAAGCAGAAATCTGCAGCAAACCACCAGTTCCAGTGGTGATCCTTCAACATTTGAAGGTTCCCCTCCCAGTTTCCTTCAAGTATCAACTCTGCTTTCGCAGAAATAAATTATTTCTAACAATATGATACAACCCTGATAAGCCAAGCAGGATTTTTCTTCCAGTACATGCAAATATTTCACATCTTCTCTATACCATCCAATGTAAAAACTAAAATCGTGTTTGCCAGTGATTGTAATCCAATTTGGCCCCATAACTGTTTTAGATAAAAAGAACAAACACAAACAAATAGAAAAAACAACTCTCACATAAACCTTAAAAATCAGCAGACCGAGCTCTATTGATTAGAAAAAAGGAAGGAAATAACTTTAGTAATAGTTAACTCTGTCTGCAGCTGTTAAGTCCAAACATTGCAAATATAAGAAATGAGGACAGAAAACTAAACAAAGAGCAAGAATTACTTACTTGTCCAGACTAACACACACACAACTCATAAAAACCCTTATGTGCTTTTTAAAAATTTGTTTGAATCACTTGTGATGTCTCTGTCAAATATGAAAGTAGATTAGCTTGATCAAGTCTATTGGGAAAAGTTCTACATTAAAAATGTATAATTCAAAGCCTTATCTAAAAAGTATTTTCAGAGATGGAATTCTGTCTCAATGACATTGCATTATTCACAAAACCTTGGGTAATGTTACACTTGCTGGCACTGATCAGCTGTCAAAGAAAACAGAGCTCATCTGTGTAACAGACAAGTAAAAAAAAAGGAGGAAAAAAGATCACAGCACTTGGCTATTACTAAAAAACTGACTCTTCGAGTAGAAATAAAATCATTTTCAAAAGGTGGAGAAAACAAAGATTCAGTCAGAGCTACGTATTTTTTTACTGGCATCAAGCACTGTGATTTTTTTAATGAACTCACTTGAGGGTAACTCTTCCTAGCAGTAATGACAGCAGATTAAAGTTTGCACCCCAGTATTTTGATACAAACTATGACATGGTATTTCTAAGAGTCTCTCTGAGAGTAAATAGCTATTTTAAAATTTGTAATAACAAAAATAATCATTAACGAGTACAAAAAACTAGGTAAACCAAGTCTCAATCAATGTAAGAGAGGATGTCTTCATAAAGGGAAGGTAAATCCTCCTTTGGAGTAGTTCCAACAATGCACAGAAACGAGACCAGAAACACATACTCAAAGTTACAGGTCTGATTTATTGGAGTTGTTCAGACATTTCCACCTTAGGGTAATTTGAGGATTGTAGTATGGACCCGGGAAAAGATTTCCAAAAAATGAAATGCTGGGAGGAGAGAGCAGAAGTATCTGTTTTCCCACACTGAGGATCAGATGTGCTGGAAGAGGCAGCCCTGCCTTCATCAGCAGTTAGCTGCAGTGGGGGATGCACTCAGAACAAGAAGCCTGATGTTTAAACATCTCACCACTGTCCTCCTGTCTAGATCCATCATGGCTCACTATGTCTAACTAAGGTCAGAATAAATGCACATTTGGGGGAATTTCAACAGATGCTGTATGCTCAGCAGCCTCACATCTCTAAAGCTCATGACCAGGTCTAACACACCGCTCTGTTCTGCCCATGCTGCCTGCTGTGCTTTTCTAATTACTTGCACCTTAAGTCTGCACAACACTTCAAATGTTCTGCAAATTCTAGAGTCGGGTTGAACTTGACTGCAGTCCCAGGGATAAAACGCCTTAGCTTCTGGAAGATCAGAGCAGATCAGATCCCTCACCTCTCCAGCGCACCATGCTATATACAGGTTTCTGTGCTCAAAACAGGCACTGTGCACATCAAATAACATGAAAGTAACACTGACATCAACAAGGAGCCAGGCTTTTCACCAAGAGTCCTGTGAATCTCAGTTCAACAAGTAACTATTAGATTTTTAGTACACAGCATGTCACAGAATTAGTGTTTTCCTTACAAATATATGGCACTAAGTGTAAAAACTTTATGACCTATTCCAAACAGTGTACCATACTTCACAGCAAAGCTTGAAAAAGAATCCTCTAACTCCCACTTCTTCTAAATATACAGCTGGTGGGAGGCCAGGGTGTCCATGAATGGTCGCACGAGGTTGTCTGTCGAGAAGTAAAAGATCAAGCCAAAGGTGATGGAGATGGGAAGAGCAGGCAGTGCTTTCTTAAAAACAGCCAGTAATAAAAGTGTTAAGCACAAACCCTGCCAGAGAGAAGAGAATAAAAAACACAAGGAGATATGGTAAGATGACCAGAAACATATCTGACATCAACAACCCAATATTCAGATAATAAGCAATATGCACTGCACAGCACTGGAGCCTGCCTGAGCTACCAGTGGCATGATGTATGTTTGCCCACAGCTTCATCTTTCACACAAGTTGGCCATGTATTTCCCTCAGCAATCCTGAGCACAGCTGTCTGCTAAGAAAGTGGTAAAAATGCTAATGTTGCTGTACAGCTGACCCCGAGAGGTTAACTTATTTACAGATTATTTTACTTTTTGTTCTATGTCATTAGGTATAAAGTACCGATCTAGAAGACAAAAGCACTTAAATCCTGATGAACTGCACAGATAGGAGATTCACTGAAGGACTCTAATATACAGCAGGATGTACTTATCTTCCCAGTTTACAAGGTCTCTTGGGGTAAAAAAAAGAAAGAACAACAAAAAAAAAAACCAAACAAACCCAAACACCCACTACTGTTCTTATGACTGGACTGTTTACTACAATAGGTGAACTCTGATTTTATCTGGATGGCAGGCCAAAATCTGTTTTTTGGAGCATATGTGGAAGCTGTTGTATATTTTGGGTAGATGGTATGGCTGAGTGCTTTTAGATTTTAATTCCTTCTCTCATCAGAGACCTTTTTAATTCCTCCATGATAACAAAGCTCCAGAGACACTAAGCTCCCAACATATCCGCTAGATAAAGATCAGCGGACACAATATTTTAACAAATTAAAAATCTAGACTACAAGTTTGTTCACAATCCAACTGAACCTGTAGCTCTGTTCTTACACTCTCAGGGACTGTATCTGGCCTACACCTGCAGAACCAGAAAGCCACATGGCAACAAGATTATGAAACTGCAAAAGGAGACAGAACAAATTCTAACAGCACCGTAAAAGACAGAGAATGGTGTATGTGACCTCACAGAGAGATAAGAACATTTCCCCCAGCAAGGGGGTCCAGTGTCCCAGAATATGGAGCTAGGTGATCTCTGACCTGTGGGGTAGGAAAGCTACACTCATCACACTTTATTTAAGGTAGCTAATTTCTAGTTCTCATGCTTTTTGGATCCACAATCTTCACAAGTGAAAGTCACTTTCACTATCCTTGGGATCTAAGTGGGGAAATGGAGGCCCAAGAAGGACACAATAATTTTTTTTCTTTTATATTCTAAAAATCCTGCTGTTGCCTTGCTGGTTAGCTGCCATGAGGATGCTGATGTAAACAACAAATACCTAGTAATTATTTTCTACCCAGGTGAAAGCTCGACAGTGTGTGTTCATTAGACCTTGGCAGGACTGAGTCCTTTAGCAGTTCAGTATGTTCGTCATCTACTTTTATTGATAATTTCCATGGATTTAAGTCTTTCCTTCCCATTTTTTCCAGCTCAAATACTAGAATAAGATAGGTCTTTATCCTCTTATCTAGATGCTCCCCTTAGCATAAGGGAGTTCACCTTTTCAACTATACTTAGTAATGTGTAATTACACAATGTTCATAGTACTGACTCCTGTGGCTGATAGAAGTCTCCAATCAATTAATGCTGAAGCAAACACACCAACGGTCCAGCTGTAACTGCTTTCCCTGGGGCTGTTTTACCCCCACCATCTCCACACTTGGTTATGCTCTGATGAGTCTGTATCATTCCACTTCGGTGGCTGTTTAAAGCCTGTCTTTATAGACAGAGCACTGGGTGGCTTCTCCTAAATATCTAGCATGTTACCTCCAGTGATTTAGCAGTGCTCAGCTGCTGGTACTTCAGGCAACACAGCTGTGCTAAACAGAGTGTAAGAGCTTTTAAAAGCTTGCTCACTTACTATGAGAATGGCTACAAAGCAGGCCAGTGTAGTATTCCAGTCTCCACTTGCTGTGGCAGCTGCTTTCCCAACAAGCACACTGTAAAATATGAAGTCTCCAAGGCCCAGCTTCACACCCCCTGAGAGAAGTGAAAAAAGAAAGTAAGTGTTAATGCTCCTGTTTTGCTTCCTCCCAATCAAAATCTTGTCCTCTGGAGAGCAGGTGGAGGTTCCTAGTCCTGGCTATCAACCTGGACCCTTAGCATCCCACACATTCCTGAGGAGGCTGAGACTTCCAGCCCCATCTCACACAGCTGTTTATGCTCAGCCTAGCTCTCCGAGGTGCTTCCCTGGGCTGCTTTACAGATGTACCAGCTGAGGAAGCACAGGGACAGGGAGGGACAGGAAGTAAGGGGAAGAAGGAACTGTTTAAATTATACATATAGCCAAGAGATGTCACCAGAACCACAATCCCGGAACAGATTCTGCAGCAGCAAGAAGTAATACACAGTCAGACTTAAGATCTTTGCAGCTCAACAAGTCACAACTCTTCAAATTGTGATTAGACTAAACTGGGTAACATAGCGTTAACCATGAGAGTCAAAATGTCAGGCACTGACTACACTGAAAACAAGGTATAAAGCTTCCCTTACTTTCCTCCTCGAGCTCCTCTAACGATGTGATGGGGCGGGTTGGAACAGGACTCCTTGTCTCTGACATCTGAGAGTCCACATGTGAAGGGCTCCTGTGGTGTTCTCTCCCATCCTCAGCTTGGTTCCACAAAAACAGGACAAGAAGAGCAGATTAAAAAAAGAAACGTAAGAGATAGCTACATTTATAAACTGTTTTAGGGCATGAACTCCACACTTCTGTGAAGCTGCTCTGGAATGGGTAAGCCCTTTGTTTCTTGGAGGTGTGATCATCAGGACCAGTTCAAGAGAGACACTGAGCGGCTTTGAGGAAAACATGTGTTGTTATTTGGAACAGTTGGAAGGGTACAAGTTCACAGCTTCTTTGGCAGCTACCCAGGAGTTCAAGAGCTTTAACAAGCTGGCACACACACAGACCTAAGCATTGCTCAGCACAGGCTAGAATGACAAGTAAAGTCAATACGCATTCCCACGTTGTTAATACTTTTGGGATGGAGGTGGTCAGGTATTCCCTATCTGGTCATATGACAAAAATGGGTAACTAAGAGGACTGCCATTTATGAGAAAAGTTTTGCCCTGAGTTACATTGACATTGGAGCAGTGTTCACATGTAGAAAGCAGACCAGCTTCATTGTTCACAGATTTAAACCTTTTTTCTCCCCTGTTAAAACACATCTGACAGAGCCTTTGGAAGCAGCCAGTCTGTGATCTATGACTCTATCCGACAGTTCCTATTTTTCAGAAGCTCTCATACACACTCTCCAGCCCATGTCAGTCTGACAGGATGCTGCTGCTGCAGATGCAAGCAGACTGTGATCTGGGACACACAGAGGCATTCTGTATGCCTCAGCATGTAGTTTGAGCCTGCTCTGTGCTCAGTTTCAAAGCAGGATTGTGTCCCTGCAGTTTGGCTGCTTTATCCTGAAATAAGCAGCATGTTCAGTTATCCAATCTCTGCATACATCTATTGCTTTGACACTAAAGGGTACTGTTATCTTTGAAGTGCAACAGGACCAGACAGGAAATCCTCCCAATACCGCAAGTCAGATTTTATTCCATCTATTTACACTTTTCCTAGCTGGGTGTCGTGGTTTAATTAGGAAAAATATAAACCCCCACTAGCCTACTTTCAACTTTGACTTCAGTACATCTGAAGATGTGTGTTCAACACTACTTCTGTTTTGTTTTTTGTTTTTTCTTTCTTTTAAATGAAAGCAGCCTGAATATTGCAGCTTCCTACATTGTCTGGTCATCCTTGCTGCCAGCCCTAACAGCAGGTTTCTGAACATCACCGAGTTCTGCAATTCACAACACCGGAAAACAAATGCATGTGTCAGGACTCACGGGCTTACATTTGCTTGCAGTCTCAAACATACACATTATTTCCATGGGACAGTGCTCTTCATAGGAGAGGGACATGCAAACAAACCTGCATCCCATGTCTGCTGACTTGGTCCTCTTGCTGCTGTGTCTGGTTTTGCCATTCCAACTGTCCACATCATAGCAGCTGGAGAAAGAGAGAAAGTAATCGTCTGTGTAAAACACTGGTCACTATAGCTCAGAGGAAATCATTGTTCAGCTGTCCCTAAAAATACAAACCCTTGCCCCTGTAAATGCTGCTAAAACACTCATTCTTAGTTGGTACTCAGAAGGCAAGGTGGGAGAAAATTAAGGCAGTGCATCCATTCAGTTTTTAAGAATGTCCCAGAGCACAAATAGCTAAGAGTCAGTATAGTCTTCTCTGTAGGCTAAAGAAAACAAAATTCCAGAACTAGGGTCCTCATCTCCTTTGTTTTCCTCCTGGTTTCTGGGTCTTCTCTTCAAACAAAACAATTTCCCAGGCAATGATGGTAGTACAAAAGGTAACCAGAGGTTAACTTACACAGCTTATACCTCATGTTCTGCTAAAGGCACAGCAGGCAAGTGAAGGATATGCAGGTGTCAGAGTGCTAGTTTTCTCTCTGCCTGTTTGTTTTGGTTCTGTTCTGTCAAAATATTACCTATTTCTGTTTTAGTTCCAATAACAACTGAAGGATGTTTGGGGGTTTATTCTTGGTGTGGATCCCTAAACTAAAAAGGAATACAAACCATTCTGAAATCAGCGGAAGTGAACTCAAATCAGCTGTTTATTAAAGTATGTATCAGTCTTTCTGTTTTTATAGAAACTAAACTACGCAAAATAAGCCAAGGCAAACAGTGCTTGTTTTTCCACTAGAAGCTCAGCCAAGGTGATGTTTTTGCATCTAGAGGGAACCACAGAATGTGGTCTTCCAAAGGAGACACTGATGTTCTGCACAAGAGCTTGTCATTCAGTATTTATTTTCCACTGAACTGCATTTCTCCTTTAGAGAAATTCCTGATTGTTAACTACAGCATGTGAGAGACTTCATCTAGATTGTCTTAGGTCAGTATAACGGAATCTCCAGTAAAAGGGAGAGCAGCTGAAGGCAACTGAGGCTCTGCCTGGAACACGTAAAAGCATTTATGTAACATTAAATGCTTGGAAAAAAAGGATCATTGAGGTTATAAGCATCCTCAGCTTAGCACCCAGTATTTGGAAATACCCACTCATCTTACAAGTGATGCAATGAAAAAGCCACTGAGGGCCATGAAGCACTTGAGTTCAGGTCCTGTGAGTGTTGAGTCTCCAGCCTTCTAACCATCTTAAATCTGAAGCACATAGGTACTTTTGTGAATAAGGGCACCAGATACCAGCACAGTTAAACAGCCCAAGAAAGCCAGGGAAGAAATGACTGATTTTGTTTGCAGAGCAATGCTTCAATAAAGCCCTTTGCCAAGCAAGGAGCCACACAATGACCAATAAAGCAAATATATTCTAAGCACTGCCACCTGACAGTGCACAGAGCAGGAGGGGCTGCAGGAAGAACGGAGCCTCATCACGTTTAAAGTGTGTCTGTAAAGCATATGCTAATCACAAAACTTTGCAAACACTATTGCCCATCTAACACAGGTTTTTGTATGCAAAGGGGCATGTTCGGCACTGTATTCATGAAAGGCTAAATCTTCTTCTGAATGTTTCAGCTTCACAAGGCAAATGTGGACTCCCTTTGGCTAATTCGAGTTGGCACCATTGTAACTGATAAACAAGGCCTTCTACAAATGGTCTGTCCCAGAACATAAATGTTCACCAATCTTAGGGCAAGGAGCTAAAATAGCGCTCCTTGCTTTGACACAGAAATAATTAATTAAATAGTTTCACATGGCTAAAAAATCTGGTGAAAAACATTAACATTCTAACCTTACTCACAGGAATATATTAATGCAGGGAAAATGGGCTCATTTCTCTCTTGTGCAGTTTCTACCAGCATTCTCAGTGGTCCCTTGGGACAGAGAACAGCCATCAGATCTGCAAAATAAAAAGGGACAGACAATCTCATCTTGAACTGTCATGCATATTTCATATTCTTTATCTTTAAAAAGCAATTCTCCCCTCAAGACAACATAATCAATATTAACTGGATGATGTCCCGAATGGCAGTTTCCACCACTTTGCATAACCCAGCTGTACTAGTCCCCGAAAATGTTAGTCACTTAAAATACCATCCCCAAGCCTTAATGTAATAATAAAGAGTTTCCATTGTGCTAATCCTATAAAAACCCTAGAGAATACCACATTATTTCCTTGAAAGTAGATGACAGCATTTCATTGAGGTGTTAAATTTAGAGGAGGGCTGGAGGTACTTTGTTCACATTCCACAATCCATCACTACATACGCTGGCTCTGTGTTTCACCTGAATGAAGGCCTTTGGTCCAGTACCACTTTGCTCACCTTTCTCCTCCAACAGATCTCCTCACCAATCTGAATGTTATGTCCCAGCTCCCTCTTGTTCTGCAGGTTCTCTTGCTCATACCAAAATCAATGATATCTCGATAACAGCAAACGAAACCTGTGAGACTATCAGGTTGCTATTGATAAAAATCCAACCACCCTTACCATGGAGTTAGGTGTGGTTCAGTACTTCCCTGACTTGGTGATCCACTTTGAAAGACATGGTAGGAGTAGAGTACCTACACAAATAAGGTAGCAAGAGGCAAGCCAGGGAGTCAACTTAATTGCCCATCTGCCTCTTTCTAAAGCTTTTAGCACTATAAAGTTGTTTTTTGAATGACATACACAACCCCAAGACTGCCTCAGAGTAACCTCTCCAGGCGCCACACCTTGAGAGCCACAACTCAGACTTACCATAGATGGAGATTGCACCTAGAATCACCCATGCTGACCACTCAGGTAGATATTTAATGAAAACCAATGCCATTAGAGCACTGATCATAATGAGGTACGCTTGCTGGAGCTGCAAGGGACCTTTCCAGTGGATGCAAATCATTCCAACAGCTCCAAAATTCCAGATGACTAAGAACAGAGTGGGGTAATCCATGGCCACATTGTACGTCTTCAATACCTCACTAGAATACAACAAGAAAATTTAGCTAAGCAACAAAAGTAACTGACATGCAAAGCACCATACAGCTGTAGCCTCCAGCTACACCAGAAGGAAGCTGGGTAGGAGCAGCTATCAGGAAAGTGGAACCTGCCTTGTGGCCAGTTACTGCTCTGAGCTCTCTGTTCTTCCAGCATGAGATGGACATGCTGTGTGTGTAGACAATCACCACACTGCCTTAGTCCCGAGTTCAACACTGATTCTAAGGGTTTGAGCAGGCAGGATTTCAAGTCTTAACTGAACACAGACCTGTGGCTACATGACTGTCTGCAGCAAAGAAGTCATGTGTCATCTCACCAGATGCATGATGCTCATAGTTAAAAATGAGAAGTTTTAACAGATGTCACCCACAAGTTTAAAGTTTAGTTCCACCTGAGCTGGGCGCTAAGGGAACGAGCTTGAAACAATGTAGTCTAAGAAAAAGGCAAGACAAATCAGAGGAGCAACTCAGCACATAAAGTTCCTTTCCACTTGCTTCCCAATGTATAATTCAGGGCCTTTGTACTACGAGGTTCGAGGTTCAGCCTGTTCATTTCATGCTCACAGTATCACTTCCCAGTAACTTTTGTAGAGTAGGCACTGTAAAATGAGGCACTGCCTATTAAAGACCTCATTTTCCATTTTTTAAAAAAGAAAGCTGTCTAGCAATCCTTAAACATCCATTTGGAGAAGGGGAGACATTCCTTGTTCAAATTGGGGATTTTCTGCAAAGAAGTGAAGGAGCCCTGAACTCCCAGGCTACCTGCACCATTGCCACTTACCCGAGATATATGTAGGTGAAGAGGAAGAGCAGCATCAAAGAGGACAGGATCAGCCAGCCATGAATGAACTATCAAGGGTGAGAAGAGGCAGTGATTATAGGGGCTGTTATCCCTTGCACAGGTCACAGTACTGCATACACTACTAACAGCCCAACAGTCTCCTTCTGCACTCCTCCTCCAGTGTCCAGAGACCCTGTCTTCTCCACAGTCAGTGAGGGAGGGTGGACAGCCAGTTGCTTCCAATTCTCCCAAACTCTTTCATTTTATATTCTGTCCCTTAGTGCTTATTTTTGTTGGTTTGTGGTTTTTTTTCAGTCTCTTTCCTCTACATTTCCATGGGTATTCACACTGGATCCTAGCTTAGATGCATGAGCACATTCTCTCTGCTTGGTGGGGAGGAAGAGGGCTTTGCCTGAGACTGTCAAA